CAAGCATGGGGCCAGGGAAGGGGGGAGCAGGTTGGGGAGGCAAGGGATGGGGCTGCCATCAAGGGGTGTGAGCAAACAAGCCGGGGACGTGAGTCGCCACACCTGCCCCTGATCTCTGGCTAATCGTAGAGAATGGGGGGTGGAGGGGACCTCGGTGACAGTCCAACCCCCTGCACGAAGCAGGACCAGCCCCAACTAGATCATCCCAGCCCAGGCTTTGTCTAGCCAGGTCTTAAAAACCTCCAAGGATGGAGAGTCCACCACCTCTCTGGGTAACTTGTTCCAGTGTGTTACTACTCTCCTGGTGAGGAAGTGTTTCCTAATATCTAACCTAAACTTCCTTTGCTGCAGCTAGAGACCATTGCTCCTTCTGTTATCTGCCACCACTGAGAACAGTCTAGCTCCTCTCTCAACCCCCATGCTGGTAGTTGAAGGATGCTATTAAAGCCCCCCTCAGTCTTCTCTTTTCCAGATTAAATAAGCACAGTTTCCTCAGCCTCTCCTCATAAGCATGTTCCCCAGCCCCTAACCATTCTGTTGCCCTCTGCTAGACTCTCTCCACTTTATCTACAGTACATCCTTTCTATAGTGGGGGGAGGGGGGGCAGGGGGAGGGAGGGGCAAACTGAACACACTCCAGATGTGGCCTCACCAGTGCTGAATAGAGAGGAAGAATCACTTTCCTCGAACATCCTACTCATGCATCCCAGTATGTTGTTAACCTTCACAACAAGGGTACACTGCTGGCTCATATTCAGCGTATTATTCCCTGCAACCCTAAGGTCCTCTTCTGCAGAGCTGCTGTCCCACCAGTCAGTCCCCAGCCTGTACCCATACATGAAATTATTCCATTCTAAGTGCAGGACTTTGCACTTGTCCTTGTCCAACCTCATGAGATTTCTTTTGGTCTAATCCTCCAATTTGTCTAGGTCTCTCTGAATCCTAGCCCTACCCTTCAGCATATCTACTACTCTCCCCAGCTTGGTGTCATCTGCAAACTCATTGAGGGTGCACTCCATCTCATCTACCAGGTCATTGATGAAGATCCTGAAAAAAAAAACAGCCCCAGGACTGACCCCTGAGGCACTCCACTTGATACCAAATGTCCACTAGACATCAAGCTATTGACTACTATCCTCTGAGACCAATGATCCATCTAGTTTTCTATCCACCATTCATCCAATGCATACTTCCTTCACTTGCTTGCAAGAATGTTGTAGGAGACTGTATCAAAAGCCTTGTTAAAGTCAAGGTCCTCTCACATCCAAAGAGCCAGTCATCTCATTGTAGAAGACAATTAGGTTGGTCAGGCATGACTTACCCTTGGTGCATCCATGATGACAGCTCCTAATCACCTTCTGCAAGTTCCTAGAAATGGATTCCTTGAGGAGAATGAGGCTGCCTCAGTTGTCTGCAACTGGGCTGGCTGCTGAAAGCACCACTCAGCCCTTCCAAGTACACCTGCAGTCTCAGGCAGCACACATGCCTTCACACAGTCTCACTCTGTTCTGTCAAGCTTCATGTTCACTGCTCTCTGGTTCTCCCGGCTCCTGCTTTGGCTTTCCCTGACCCTGATCTTGGATCTTCCCTGAACCTCAGCTCTGGCTCTGCTCTCTCTGCTTACACCAGCATCTTACCTTGGCTTGGCTTCCTTGACCCTGACCTTGGATCTTCCTTGGAACTTGGGATCAGAAAGACCAGAGAGAGAAGGGAGGAGGTAGTTATTACCTGTGAAATGCAAGGAGATTAGTAGCAGTGAGTGTGTCTACATATGCATTTGATCTGAGATCAGTTTACTCCTGAGTAAACTACTTGTGAGTAAATGCTTCCAGGCAGGCATTTACACATGCAGGGAAGCGGGAGCAGATTTACTGCTAGTGGCAGCAAACTGTTCCTGCTTCCTGTGGCCCTGCAATGGGCCCCTGCTGCCACCAGAGGGACCTCTAGGCTCCCCTGAACGCTAGTCCAGGGGCTGGCAGGGAGCACCAAGCCAGGAAACTGCTGTCTCCTGACTGGAGCTGGGGCTGGGGCTGGGGCTGGGGTTGGGGCTGGGGCCGGGACATCACTCCCTGCCTTGGCAGCTGGGAGCTCCAGGCACCAGCTCCCCATTCAAGGGCAGGGAACTTGGAAAGAGCTGCAGGGGAAAGGCAGATCCCAGCCCCCTGTCCTGATGCCCTGGTGGGGGCGCCAGAGCAGCTAGCTCACTGCTAGCTGCCCCACCAGCAGACGAGGGCAAGGGGCTGGGACCTACCCCATCCCAGCTCTTTCCAAGCCCCATGCCTCAATCACTCAATTGAGACATGGGGCTGGGACCTGCCCCTGACCAGGATGGTTCCCAGCCCCCACTCCATGATTGCGGGGTAGAGGCTGGGGAGTCTGTTCCTGGCTCTGCTCTGTGAGTGCACAGCTGTTGGGTGGGGGCGGGGGGGCAGGCTGGGGAGCCTGTTCCCTGATCAGCCCTGCATTCACGGAGTTGAGTGGGGAACAAGCCCCGCAGCCTGTTTCCCACCTAGCTCTGCAGAGCTGACGCTGGGAGATAAGGATCCACAGACTTGTAGATGAACATCCTGTAGTAAACTATGTTACTGCACAGTAAAGCATCTTGTGTAGATGTGCCCAGGAGGTTGTAATGACCCATAAAGTCACTATCTGTATTAAATCCAGATTTTTGCTGTTCATTAGGATTATGAATTTCTGTTCATAGGCCTGTCGTCTGGAGGTATCTTGTAAATTCCCTTGGAACATACAGTTTGTGAGGAAGTGATTGTTCTGTGAAAAATACTCTCCTTCTAATGTTTGGGTGTCTGTCATTTATATTTTTCTGTGGGAGTTCATTTTGGTCAGTAGTTTCCATCTAGTTTCACCCACATAGTTTCTATGAGGACATTTGGTACATTGGATAAGATATACCGCATTCTGTGATATACAGGAGTGGATTCTGATGGTTTACTTGAGGGGGATATTGACTGATATGGCCCTGGAGAAGTTTTGACAGGTTCTGCATTCATTAAGCCAGGGTTGTTTCCCATTTGTTTTCTGTTGATTGGAGGGGAGTTTGCTTCTGATGATAAGTTGGGCTAGGTTTGGGGGTTGATTAAAAGCTGGGACTAGGGGGAATTTTGAATATATCCCTCAAGTCTGATCTTCTTTAATTATAGGCTGTAATTGTTTGATAATCCTTTCTAAAGGTTCCAGTGTGGGATGGTATGTAACAGGCAGGAGATATTTGTACCATACATGCTAGGGGTGGGCAAAATATGGCCTGCGGGCTGTATCTGGCCTGCCAATTGATTCTATATGGCCCTCAGGTGGGTGGCATGGGTGGGTGGTACAGGTGGCAGCTCTGGCTCCAGTCTCTGCTCGTACCATAGGCAACACTGAGTGGAAACAGCCCTGCCTTCCTGCCTGACACTATGTGGCAGGCCCTGCGCAAGCCACGATTGGGCCTTAGTGGCTCCAGCCTCTTTTGGCACTGCGGGGGACACTGGCACAAGCAGCCCTGCCTGCCCACCTGGCTCCACGTGGCAGGCCCTGGGTGAACTGCACTCTGGCTGGGCTGGCAGCACCCTGCCTGCCTGTGGCTCGGAGCTGGAAGGAGCTGCCCTGGGCACTAGGACCATGTGGTGGGTGCTCTGCACTTGTACCCAGAGGTGGCAGAGCTTCCTGGTGCCTCCTGGCAGGTGAAGCTCCAGTCGTGGCCCCAGCCCCACTTCCCACCTTGCCCAGTGCAGCACTGCAAGCCAGCCCAGCCATCTGCTGTCTCCCAGCTACAACCAGCATGGCTCTTATTCCATCTACTCAGATGAGGCTGTTCCTAGCACCCTGGGGCTGGGGTTCCTCCTGGGGGAAAGGAGATGCAGGTGAGCACAACCTGTATGACCCTGGTGAGTAGCTGGGGCAGGCTGGAGGGGGCTGCTGGGCTTCTCCAGGCTTTGTGGAGGCAAGTGTGGACAGGAAGGGGTGGAGGACAGGTGGGTTTGGGGTGAAGATGGCTCTTGAGGGGCATGTTGGGGTGCAGGCTGAGGCAGGAGCTCACTTATGATTTGGGGGGTGGCTAGATAGTGTTAGGGCTCTGCTGGGGGTGGGGATGCCCTCCCTTGGATGAGAGTCCTGCTGGCTGGTTTTGGTTCCCTTGGGGAGAGAGACTTTAGTTTGAGCTATTATGCAGTCACCTCTATACACACTACTCAACAAAACAGAAATCAGGACAAAAAATATTTGTTGAAATAAAATTAAAATATTTTATAGTAAGTTTGATTTTTATAATATGATCTGTATTTTTATCTATAATTCGTTAAAATGATATCTTTACCATTAATTTTATGTGTGCAGACCTCAACAGCTCACCAAAACTTGTTAAGTGGCTCTCCATCTGAAAGAATCGTCCATCCCTATTATACACAAACTCTGTGTGTGTGTGTGTGTGTGTGTGTGTGTGTGTGTGGCAAGCTTCTGTGAGCTGAAGCTCACTTCATCAGATTCTGTGAAAGGACATGCAGGAAGAATATAAGGAGAGAGAAATTAGAATACAAAAGACAAGGCAGGAGGAAGAGGGATAGGGGTTGGGAGCAGTGCTGATTTTTATATTTTATATATAAGACATGTGCGCGCATGTGCACACGCACACACATACATACTTTGATTAGTCTATAAGGTGCAAATCTACCCTGGCTTCTAATTGACTTCAGACTAACATGGCCTACTAAGTCTCTATGCTGTGTAACAACTAGGGGAGTGGTGGTATCCATCAGTAGGGGTA